AAAAACTATATCTACCCTGGTAAGAGGCTAAAGCCAGAATTTCCCAGATTTGATCCTAACTCTGCCTTAACAATCTCTGTGGCATTACACAACAATTTACTTCTGCTATTACTTTCCTAAACTTTAATTCTAAAAGTAAAAATCAGAGGTATACTCAAATAACCTGTTTGCCATCCCTTCAACTGCCAAAAGGCTGCAGCTTCATCTAAGTTTCTGTGTTTGCATTGATCTAGTTTCACTTCTGATAACATAAGAAAAAATACAATTGCTGTAAATTTTTCAAGGCCAAATCTAAAGGAAGTTAAAAAAAGAAAATCAAATACACACCTGTGCATGTATATAACCTTCACAAAATTATCATGTTTTCCCTCTCACTGATGGTTGGTCTCCAAGTTGGGAACCTGCCTCTTCTCTGAATCATTTCAACTTGAAACCTAATGAACACCAAGTCCCCTATTCAGGAAACTTAAGAATCTACAAATTCTACTAATTTTGTTTTATTCTGCCCTGTGTTTGAGATTACTATATTTCATAAAATGCCTCTTCATTTAATAAAATATTCCAAAATTAGATATATATGTATATAAAGTTCATAAAAACACATTCTTACATTCTGTAAATTGAATAACTTACAGAACCACAAAAATGTACAGTTGAAATTGCCTTTAGCAACCATCTAATCCTATATCCTTCCTTCACTGTAGGAAAAGAGAAAAAAAAGGCTGGGCGTAGTGGCTTACACCTGTAATCCAAGCACTTTGGAAGCCAAGGCGGGCGGATCACCTAAGGTCGGGAGTTCAAGACCAGCCTTACCAACATAGTGAAACCCCATCTTTATAAAAAAAAAAAAGAAAGAAAGAAAGAAAGAGAAAAAAAAATGATGCCCAGGAAAAGCTAAGTGATTTTGTTTCTCTGATGGTATGATAAAATGGACATGAGCTTTAGCATCAAACAGACCTGGGTTCTGATTCAGGCCCAACATTTATAAGCTATGTGACTTTGAGCAAATCATTTAAATTTCTCTGAACCTCAGCATCCTAATATGGAAAAAAGCAGTATTATCCTACTATTTGAAAACACCTGCCACATATCAAATAACAGTTTCTTTTGTCCAAAGTCAGGTAGCAAACCAGTAACAGTGAACTGGTATCCTACCACGGCAGTTCCCACTACACATCCTGCATCCTTCTGAATGAGAACTAGTAGTTCTGGTGTATTGTCAAGGTCAAAGGAACAAGAAAATGACTGCATTCCTGACACTAGCAACTGTGTTTTATTCCATAGCAACTAACACAATAAGACACGCTTTGGGGTTTAGGGGATTCACTCAGAATTAAACTGTGAACTGAATTGACTACTACAGGCTTGGGATTTTTATGAGGATGGAGACAAGTAAGACTGTCTTGCTCCGAGGCATAGAACAGAAGAACCACAAAATATTAGCATACATAATTTGCAGACTGATTAGTTGTTTTAATTAATTTGCTTTATTGTGCTAAAAAAAATCAGTAGCAATATTGTGCTAAAAAAATCAGTAGCAACAACCAAAAAAGAGAATGGATATACTTACAATGTCTGAAGATTAGAAAGAAACCTAAATACACCATCAGCAATATGAGTGACTCTGTTGTCTCCTAAATTCAATCTCTCCAATAAGCTCAGACCAACAAAGGCAGATTCATCCAGGTGGGTCAGCTGGTTATAGGACAAATCACTGAAAAAGGGAAATATGGAAAGTAAGGAATTCACTGTATTTTGGTTCAACTGAAAATTCTTATTATATCTACATGGTAAATTTAGAGCTTTCTACAAATTTCTAGTCAAGAGGGATGCTACATCTCATTACTGGCCATGGGAATGATTTATTCCAATCTGCTCTAGTCTCACAGCCTTGACTGAAATGCTATCCAACACTTACAGTTCAGATAGTCTTTGGCAGAACTCCCATGCATCAGGGCTGATTCTTTCAATAGCATTTTGGCTCACATAAAGCTGTTGTAACATTCGCAAGCCATACAACCACCCCTTGTTCACTCGTGTAAGGTTATTGTGTTCCAGTTCTCTGCAGAATTAAAGAGAAGAAAATACATTCCAAAACAAGGCAGTTCAATAATTATAGTTTTAAATCTTAAGTTTTTCCCAGAGAAGCATATATCTTTGTTTAACCCAACTGAGCTGACCAATTCTATTCAATAAAAATGTGTAACTTACTTAAGATTTAGTGCTAAAAGGTAGTAAGACTGTCAAAAATATCAGCTGTACAAAACCAGCAGGCCAAGTGCTATAGTATACCTGTTTGGATAAATTCTGTAATTTTCATTAGCCAAAACATTAAGAGAATATAAACTTTTTAGATGAGAAGTTTGTAAGAATTATTTGAAAAATTATCAGTTAGCCAGCAAAACTTTAAAGGTTTTGTGTATACTTATTTCACATCAGTCAGCAGGAAAAGAATTAACTTATCTCTGTATAATCAGAACAACTGTCCTAGCTATTTGGCATTGAAAAGCTCAGACAGGCAGAAGCGTGGTGGCTCATGCCTATAATTCCAGCACTTTGGAAGGTCAGGAGTTCGAGACCAGCCTGACCAACATGAGGAAACCCTGTCTCTACTAAAAATACAAAAATCAGCTGCTCGTAGTGCGTATGCCTGTAATCCGAACTACTCATGAGGCTGAGGCGGGAGAATCGCTTGAACCTGGGTGGCGGAGGTTGCAGTGAGCAAAGATTGCACCACTGCACTCCAGCCTGGGCAATGGAGCCAGACTGTCTCAAAAAAAAAAAAGAAAAGAAAAAAAAAAGTCCCAGACAGACTTCTTTCCTAATAATCACTTCTAGTCCCAAGTACTTACAGTTCTTCCATGTTATTCAAGCCAAAAAATGCTCCATCCTTAAGTTTGCTAATTCCATTCCGCTGCATTTTCAAAGATCTTAAGGAGTCAAGCCCTTGGAATGTAAGACCTTCCACAATTTTAATTCTGTTTCTTTTAAGTTCCCTTTAACAAAAACAGTTTTATAGTCAGGAAACTGGTTTGCTGAAATGCTCTAACAGTAATTAAAAAGAAAAAGACCCTGTAAGAAAAAACTATCTTCTTATAATCCATCTATTTTGCTACTCACAAGAATTGGAGGTGAGGCAGCTTGAAGATCTTCGGTGGAATCATGCTAATTCGGTTACGATTTAACTTTACCACTAATAAAGAACTCGATAAATTATCAAAGCAACCAGCCTCCAAGGTGGTTATCCTGTTATTACTTAAATTCCTAAAATAAGATAACAGCAAAAGAAAAAATTTAGTAAAATAAAAAATTCTACCACCAGAAAGCTGCCAAATATCTATGTCTGAGCCCCCAGCTTTATCGCTTAATGACTATCCACAACTTTACAAATCATTTAACTGCTTTGTTTCTTCATCTACAAAATTAGAAGGCTATCTACTTCATTTAAGTTGTTACAAAACAGCATGTATGAATATGCTTTGTAAACTGGAAAACACTGGCATACATGCTAATTATCATCATTATATATGGTAAGCCATCGTTTAACAAATCTCTATTTTACCTTTTAGAAAACTTGGTTTTAAAAAAAAACAAAACTGAATCTCAAAAATTACCCTGGACATCTGCCAATATTTTCTGACAATAGTGCAATTCTTTCTTTTGGGGGTTTGTGGGATGAGTGGGCAAAGCCAATACACCAGCCCTAGGTTTGTTTCACATATGCATATCAAAAGCAAAATAATTAACCAAATATTTTTTAAAAGATAGGTACTGATGAATTAAAAACATGGGCTTTAAAGTAAATCTAATCTATGTTACTTACAAGTATTTAAGCTGCATGCGAGGAAATGAAGATGTCTTGATTTCTGATATTATATTTGAGCTGAGGTCTAAACTCTCCAGGGCAGGATAAAACTGAAGCGCCTGTGCATTTATTTCTGGGATTATATTATGGATTCTATAAAACAAAGATTATATTGAGGCTGCTGCCACTAATCCACCCAGGCCATAAGAATGTTAAATAATCAGAGTCAACAATATATGTACTTTAAAAAAAGACTGTTTACTGTTCATAATTTAAGTAAAAGATCTCAAAACTTCTTAACTTACAATGAAAGTAGAGTAATATTAGATGTTGGTTCTCCAAAATATGGGATTTCTGTTAGTTCATTGTAATTCATTTTCCTAGGCAAGAGGAAAAACAGATTTAAATGTTTAGTGAGGGAAATATTACTTCTTGAATTCTACCTTCTGGCTAATACATATTCTTCAGAATAGGTGCCAAATTTGAAAAAGACTTGCGATTCAGAATGACTTAGACTAAAATAAAAATGGCTGGGTACGCTGGTTCATGCCTGTAATCCCAGCAATTTGGGAGGCCGAGGCGGGCAGATCTCCTGAGGTCAGGAGTTTGAGACCAGCCTGATCAACATGGAGAAACCCCATCTCTCTAAAAGTACAAAATTAGCTGGGCGTGGTGAAACCAGAAACGAGAAACCTCCCAGCTACTTGGGAGGCTGAGGCAGGAGAATCGCTTGAACCTAGGAGGTGGAGGTTACAGTGAGCTGAGATCACACCATTGCACTCCAGCCTGGGCTATAAGCGCAAAACTCCCTCTCAAAAATAAATAAAATAAAATAAAAATGTATTTCTTGAGAAATTAGAGGTTTTAATGAGAAATGTATTTTCTTTTCTTTTTTTCTTTTGGAGACAGAGTTTCATTCTTTTTGCCCAGGCTGGAGTGCAATGGTGCAATCTAGGCTCACTGCAACCACTGCCTCCCAAGTTCAAGTAATTCTCCTGCCTCAGCCTCCTGAGTATCTGGGACTACAGGCATGCGCCACCACATTCAGCCAATTTTGTATTTTCAGTAGAGACAGGGTTTTACCATGTTGGCCAAGCTGGTTTCAAACTCGTGACCTCAGGTGATCTGCCCACCTCAGCCTCCCAAAGTGCTGGGATTACAGGCATGAGTCACTACGCCAAGCCAAGAAATGTGTTTTTATAGTGTTGATCTACTACTGATACTAATATCAGAAAGATTATGAAGTATTTTGCACATTAAATATTGTTAGCTCAAGCAAAGTTCTTTGAATAAGTTGGGTTTATGACAGCTGATCTGAGTCATTAAACAAAGAAGGCATAATCAGTCCATCCAGATCTCTTTCTCTAAATATACATAAACATACACATACAAATGTATATATATTTTTTCTAAAGCTATACAAAGTTAGAGAGTGTTACTTGAGACCACAGATGAAATTTATCAGCCCACCCAGATATGGAATCTATGACTAGTTTTACAGGTAACATAACATGTTGCATCTGATCCCAGCAGCCTTTTAAACAGATCGTCTCAAAGGTTTTAGTAGTAAATCTTATACAATCACATTACATTAATCTGGATTTTAATTACTGAACAACCTCAATCTAGAATACAGAAAAGAAACTAGAAGTAAAGATGTTTATTGCATGGACTTTGTAACTTTGGTTGGAAACTACAACCTCTGCCTCCCCTGAAAACCAACCAAAGTTACAAAGTTCATGCAATAAAGGTCATGCACTTCCCACTAAAGCATTTTCAGGCCTTTCCTCAGTGCCTACTCTTTCAGCTAACTAACTTGTCAACTGTATATTCACCCACAACATTTTAGAAGCAATAAATCTGGAGCCAGGAGGAGAGAATGCAGAGACCAATGAGCATGAAGAAGTTACCCCTGTCAGCAAAGAATTAAAAAGAAAAGTAAATCTCAGCTGGGCTCTGTGGTTCACGCCTGTAATCACAGCCACTTTGGGAGGCTGAGGCGGGCGGATCACCTGAGGTCAGGAGTTCCAGACCAGCCTGGCCAACAGAGTGAAACCTGATCTTTAATAAAATACAAAAAATTAGCTGGGCATGGTAGCGGGTGCCTATAATCCCAGCTACTCAGGGGGCTGAGGTAGGAGAATCACTTGAACCTGGGAGGCCAATGTTGCAGTGAGCCAAGATCGTGCCATTGCACTCCATCCTAGGCAACAAGAGCAAGACTGTCTCAAAAGAAAAAAAAAAGGAAAGTAAATCTCAGGGTTCCGAGGGTGTTAAGTGTAGAGGCGAATAGGCCTATATACCTTAACAGTTGTGCCTCTAGGAATGTTAACAATGCAAAAACTAATATTAATAATATCTTAGAAAACTCCCTCCAAAATTACATAATATATCTCAGTATTAAAGGAAAAACTTCAGTTAAGAGAAAAATTGAATTATATCAACCATCACATTCTCAAATGATATCGAGAATACTCTATTTCATATAAATCTACTTTAGACACGATGCTCCCAATCTTAGATAACATGTCAAGACATTTTAAAAGGTTATACAGGCCAGGTGCAGTGGCTCATGCCTGTAATTCCAGCACTTTGGGAGGCCAAGGTGGGCAGATCACCTGAGGTCAGGAGTTCGAGACCAACCTGGCCAACCTGGTAAAACCCTGTCTCTATCAAAAACACAAAAATTAGCTGGTGTGGTGGCAGGCACCTGTAATCCTAGCTACTCTGGAAGTTGAGGCAGGAGAATCGCTTGAACACAAGAGGCGGAGGTTTCAGTGAGCCAAGATCCAGCCACTGGACTCCAGCCTGGGCCACAAGAGCGAAACTTCATTTTAAAAAAAAAAAAAAAAAAAAAAAAGGGTGGGGGGGTTTATACAACAGGCTGAAAACTTGGCCAAAATCAAAACATATTTACTCTGAAGACAGGTAAATCTTACTTTTAGCCCCAGGAAAGTAAAATATTTCCCCACAGCCTCCAACTTGACATCACCAAACCAATGCCAAGAGAATCTGTGATAATAACAAAGACAACATTTTAGGTTTTTAAATAATTTCTTTTAATTAATTTTTCCTTCAATTTTTTTACGGCATCTCTGGATTGAACGTTGCCCTCAAGTCACAATTTATTAAATTCCCTAAGGAATTTAACATAACTTTAAATAAACAAAAATAACTTACACTTCCTGTAACGTTTGTGATTCCAAGCTGATGTTCCAGTTAGACAACCGATTATGACTCAAATCCCTGAAAGAGGACAAAATATCATTCTTAGTATAGTGTTGGAAAGTAGGCCTAAAGAAAAAAAAAACTAAATAGAAACACTAAAAGTCCTCTTGGCCAGGCATGGTGGCTCATGCCTGTAATCCCAACACTTTGAAAGGCTGAGGCGGACGGGTCACTTGTGGTCAGGAGTTCAAGACTCGCCTGGCAAACATGGTAAAACCCCATCTCTACTAAAAATACAAACATTAGCCAGGTGTGGTGGCACACACCTGTAATCCCAGCTCCTCGGGAGGCTGAGACAGCAGAACTGCTTGAACCGGGAAGGTGGAGGTTGCTGTGAGCCGAGACTGTACCACTGCACTCCAGCCCGGGTGACAGAGCAAGACTCCAACTCGAAAAAAAAATTTTTAACAAAAAAATAAAAATAAAAGCCCTCTTAAATGTGAATATTAGTATAGACAAACAAGAATGTTCATAAAGGATGAATAAAAATTTATCTAAATTTCAAAATGCCTATTTTTCTTTGTGTGTGTGTGTGTGTGTGTGTGTGTGTGTGTGTGTGTGTGTGTGTGTAGCTTCTGAGTTTGGGAACACATTCACATGGTCCAATAACCAAAAAGTGTACGAGTATACAGTAAAAAGTCTTCTGCTTTTGTCTCCGGCCACCCAATTCCCCTTTCCAATAACAACAAATGAAAATATGCCATTTCTTGTGTAGACTTCTGGATATATGCATGTACAGCAAATTTTTACAAAAATGATAGAACAATTTACACATTACTTTGCCCCTTGCTTTTTTCATTCAATAATACATCTTAGATCATTCCATAGCAGTATTTAAAGAGTATCTTTCTTCCCTGCAGTGATTATGTATTGTATCCTAACTGTAAGTACATTTGAAGATACATTTCACAAGTCAAGATGGTAAGCTTCTGTATTAAAACTGAAGTTGACCACATCCATGATAGGGTAGGGATGTGGTCTTCCTTTAAAAAGAAAAAAGGGGGGGGGGCCAGGCATGGTGACTCACACCTGTAATCCCAGCACTTTAAGAGTCCAAGGCAGGTGGAACACCTGAGGTCAGGAGTTCAAGACCAGCCTGGCCAACATGGTGAAACCTGTCTCTACTAAAAATACAAAAAAGTGGTGATACACACCTGTAATCCCAGCTACTCAGGAGGCTGAGGCAGGAGAATGGCTTCAACCCTTGAGGCAGAGGTTGCAGTGAGCCACGATGGCACTACTGTACTCCAGCCTGGGTGACAAAGCAAGACAGTATCTCCAAAAAAAAAAAGCAATTCACCTTTAGGAAAAGGCAATTAATCTTGCCCCAAATTACATTAAAATGATGATGGCATTGATAACTAGCATTTATTAAGTGCCACGCATTCTTCTATGCACTTGACACATATTAACTGACTAAATCCACACAGCAACCTTATGAGGCAAATACTTTACTAATATGAAAACAGGCACAGAAAGATTACTAATTGGTCAATCTAAGGTCATACAACTAATAAAAGTTAAAAATTTGAAATTCCATCTCACTTCTAGCCAGTACTTTATTAGATACAGTAGAGATTTCACTGAAGTTAGTCAAGTCTAAATAGTTAAATAGGCTCTAAAAATTCACCTTGACGCTTCTGGCATCTTTACAAGGCTGAGGTGGAATCCAGCCCACCCAAGCTGTCTGCCTAAAAGATGTACTATATGTTTCAATATGGCTAGCCACAGGGACATACTAGAGAAACATTACAGATCACTTTATCTCACTGTGCCACCACAGGCAGTTGACAGATGCATGCAGGTTTGAATAATGTCTCAATCACAGCAGAACAATTTGTTCTCAGCGAGATTCATGCCTGCCCATCTGCGCTAGCCACTTTCATTTAAGAGCTTAATTTACACCATGACATAACTAAAGCTGTGTGTTAAACCATCACTTTTCCACAACAGTTCTAAAGTCTTTATTCAAAGATGTCTGGCAAAAGGTATCAGCTCAAGGACACTCATGAATGGAGGAGGGTGTAAGAAAATATAAGATAAAAATATGAATTCATTACACATAAAAATCTCACATTCAGATACTTCATCCAATTCATACTTGCTACTAAGCAATAAACACATACACTTGTATAAAAATATATGTGAAAAGATGTTTTTTGTTGTTGTTTTGTGGTGTTTTGACTCAAGGAGAAATCCAACTGTTCTAATTTAAGTTAGATATTCTATATTCTACTCCAAGCTGGTTGGTCTGGCAAATGAAGAGCCAGCATAGTATGATCTAATTCTGTATCTTGTGACTACTGTAACTTAGCAGTTTTCCCCTTCCAGATTAAGGGCTTTCGTTTTAATCATAACAGTGTTCATAATGCCTTTCCCAAACCTAAATCTTCCTGGCAATGTAACTCTTGACTGTATTCATCCACTAGAGTTCTCCTATGAAAGTCAATAAGCATTGACCCATAGAATTATTTTTAAAGAAAATATTAATCAAAAAAAAAAAAAAAGGAAATCTGAAGAAATAAAATTAAACTCAATTTAGACGTTATAAATAACTTAGTAAACTGGGCACAGTGGCTCATTCCTGTAATCCCAGCACTTTGGGAGGCTGAGGCAGGTGGATCACGAGGTCAGGAGTTCGAGACCAGCCCGCCCAATATAGTGAAACCCCATCTCTACTAAAAATACGAAAAAAAAAAAATTATCTGGGTGTGGTGGCGGGCGCCTGTAGTCCCAGCTACTTGGGAGGCTGAGGCAGGAGAATTGCTTGAACCCAGGAGGCGGAGGTTGCAGTGAGCCAAGATCATGCCACTGCACTCCAGCCTGGGTGACAGAGTGAGACACTGTCTCAAAAAAAGAAAAAAAAAGAAAAAAAAACACAAAACAAAACAAAACTTAGTATTCAATATTAGTGAAAACTGTCCAGTGTCTGTTTTGGGAAAAAGTAATTTTCTCTTATTTTTGAAAAACCTATGGGCTTTTCAATGCAACCCAAAGGATACCTGAAATACTTTGCAACCTCTGTACCAGGTAATGTTGTTGAAAGGATATATGCTTTCAAACAGCCTCATAGGTCAGAACCCTATATAATGAGGCTCTCTAGACCCTTCTAAAACAAGCCCATATTTAATGAGATTAAAAAATACTAAAGGTAAATTGAAACATATTCCCAAAGCAGTACTATTATAGAAAGCAACTTACAGGATCAGTACAGCTGTCTTAAGTTATCAAATGCCTAACTAGAATTATATGGATTGATCTGATCATTCATACAATAAACATTTATTGGACCATGTGCCAGGAACTGGACTAAGTGCCAGGGTTATAAGCATTGTCAACTTTAGTAACCTTTTTCTTTTTCCAAAAGCAACACTTAACAATTGTCAGAGGTGCAGTCATGCTAAATTGTAAAGAAATTCAACATCAATTCTACTATTTTCCTTTACTGCAAATGGTTAAATTAGCTTTTACACCTAATTTCACTCTGGAATTTAATAAAATGATGTGTGCACACAGGAGTCCACAGACACACTCTTGCTCCTTTCCTATTTCTTTTTTTAAAAGTACCCCTCAAAAGACAGAGGACTAAAATATGTAGACTTCAGGGCCGGGTGCAGTGGCTCACACCTGTAATCCCAGCACTTTGGGAGGCCAAGGCAGGTGGATCACCTGAGGTTAGGATGTTGTAAACTCTGTTCCCACTCATGCTAATCTACAGGGATGTAGCTGTAATAAATGATGAATTATTAATGTCCTTGATATCGTGTGGAGCCAGAGGTGCCATTAATGTAGTCATTTAGTACCATCAGGAGTAAATTATTTATAGGATGTACAAAGCAATCACAACAGTTAGAAGAAAAAATCAGGTTCAGCAAACTAATTGCAACAAAGTCCTACAGCAACAGAAACAGGGGTTTTCTTCTGCACACCCACTTATACATCTGAATCATCAACAATTTTGTTTTCAAGAATATGCAGCAATAACAGGCTGAACCAGGAACTTCAGCAACAAAACGTCTGACAGAGGCCCTTTGTAAAAGTTAAAGGATAAGAAAATGTTGTGTCTGATATTTTGGGTATGACAGTGCTTCATTTAGCCAGAATAATTCAAACTTCCTTTTGTGAATGGAAACCCTTGTCTTGTTAGAGTGTACCTAGCATAATTTCGTTTTAAAAATAATACTCGGCTGGCATGGTGGCTCACACCTGTAATCCTAGCACTTTGGGAGGCTGAGGCGGGCAGATCACCTGAGGTCAGGAGTTCGAAAACAGCCTCACCAACCTGAGAAACCCCATCTCTACTAAAAATACAAAATTAGCTGGATGTGGTGGTGCATGCCTGTAATCCCAGCTACTCGGGAGGCTGAGGCAGGTGAATTGCTTGAACCCAAGAGGCAGAGGTTGCACTGAGAAGAGATTGTGCCATTGCACTCCAGCCTGGGCAACAAGAGAGAAACTCCAACTCAAAAAAAAAAAAAGAAAAAATACAAAAAATTAGCCGGGCATGGTGGCATGTGCCTGTAATCTCAGCTACTCAAGAGGCTGAGACTGGAGAATCGCTTGAATGTGGGGAGATGCAGTGAGCCAATATGGCGCCATGCACTCCAGCCTGGGCAACAAGGGTGAAACTGTCTCAAAATAAATAAATAAATAAAAATACTCAGGGTTAGTATTATAATCAATTACCATATTGTGATTTAACATGCTGATGATCTTGAGTATTCTTGGAGTAAACTGAACTAAACACAAGAATTCTAAAACAACTCTGAAAATTGTCTGTTCTTGTAAGTTGGCTTTTCCTCTACCACTAACAGCCTTACGCTAAAAGCTCTCACTTCCTGAACTGTCAATCTTCCTTTCTATAACAGGCTACTTAACTTTTTTCAAAATTTGTTTCTAATCAATTGTCATAGGCTAGGAGATCCCAGTGCCTGTTTGAACTATCTAAATTAGGAGTAAATGAGATCTGAGAGTCTCTTCTGTGACTAAATGCTTCCTGGAAGCATTTCTGCTTTGTG